GGTGTTTCTAAAAGACGTAATCGAACTTTGAAAGATATGGTCAGGAGTATGATGAGTAGAACAAATTTGCTAGAGTATTTGTGGGGTGAAGTCTTGAAAACTACCATATATATTTTGAACAAAGTTCCAAGTAAAGCTGTTGTAAATACACCTTTTGAATTATGGACATGACATAAGCCAAGTTTAGCTCATTTTATGGTTTGGGGATGTCGAGTATTTGTGGGGTGAAGTCTGGAAAACTGCCATATATAATTTGAACAAAGTTCCAAGTAAAACTGTTGTGAAGACACCTTTTGAATTATGGACATGACATAAGCCAAGTTTAGCTCATTTTAAGGTTTGGGGATGTTCAACTGAGGTTAGGATTTATAATCCATTTCAAAAGAAATTAGACCCTAGATCTACTTCTGGTTACTTTATTGGGTATCCGGACAGAGCAAAAGGATATAAGTTTTACTGTTCAAATCGTGGCACTAGAATTGTTGAGTCAATTACTGCTAAATTTTTAGAGAATGATTTTGGAAAAAGTGGGAGTTCCACATTCAGAGATTTTTTGTTGAACCAAATCAAGTTGTTGTTCCAGTTCCTGTTATACAGAAAAGTGTCGATTCTCAGCAAGTGAAGCAGTTAATGAAGAACCAAGGAACCAAGAAGAACTTATAATTCCTCCAGTAATGATTGAGTCAGTTTCTGAGCCATAAGTTAGGAGATCACGAAGGAAAAAAAGATTCGCATTGCCCAGTTATTATATTATATATCTATTGGAAAGTAATTTTAATATTGGACATATTTTTCATCCAGTTACTTATAGTCAAGTATTGACAAGTCCTAAGGCAGATAAATAGATAATTGCCATGGAAAATGAAATAAATTCTATGGAAAATAATAAAGTTTGGGAACTTGTTGAACTTCCTCCATGTGCTAAAGCTATAGATAACAAATGGATCTTCCAAAGTAAATTTGACTAAAAAAGGAATGTTGAACGAAAAGGGCAAGATTGATTACAAAAGGTTTCACTTGGCAAGAAGGCATTGATTATGTTGAAACCTTCTCACATGTCTCATTCAAAGATTCTTTTCAAATTATTATTATTATGGCACTTGCAGCACACTATGATTTGGAGTTTCATCAAATGGATGTTAAGACAACATTTTTGAATGGAGATCTTTCTGAAAAGGCTTACATGAGACAACTTGAAGGTTTTGTTGTGAAAAGAAAAGAAATTTAGGTATGCAAGTTAAATAAATTCTTATGTGGTCTCAAGCAAGCATCACGCAGTGGTATTTGAAGTTTGACGAAATTGTGACTTCCATTGGTTTTGTTGAAAATACAATTGATCAATGCATTTATCTCAAAACTAGTGAAATAAATTTTATCTTTGTTGTTTTGTATATTGATGACATTTTACTTGCTAGTAGTAACTTGAGGTTGCTTCATGAGATAAAGAAAATATTGTCTGCTAATTTTGAGATGAAAGCTTGGAGAAGCTTCTTATGTACTTGGAATTGAAATACATCATGATAGAAATGATGGCTTGCTAAGACTTTCTCAGAAAGCTTATATACGACGTGTCTTAGAAAGGTTCAATACAAATTAGCACTAGACCGGATATAGCCTATAGCCTATATAGTCAGCGTCCTTATCAAGTTTCAGTAGAATCCATGACAAGAGCATTGAAAAGCAGCCTAGAAAGTTATGAAATAACTGAAGAAAACTAAAAGTTACGAGATACGCGCTAATGTCCTCATTTTTCCCAGCAAAGATGGTACTATACACAATCTCAAGATTGCAGATTTTGGACAAGCCAAGAAAATTGGAGAGGAGAAAATCTTGAGTCGTACGCGAAAGGTTCACAACAAAGGTGCAATGTTCTATTCGTCCCCAGAATCAATAGCATTGGGGATTTACGAGCCAGTTACTGATATATGGTCTGTTGGTTGCATCATCGTGGAGATGATCACAGGGAGACGCATTTGGTCAACTGCTCGGAACGATGAAGAGTTGTTTCAGCAGATTGGATTTGGTAATCCATAGCCGAAAACATTTCCGACATTGCAAAATATTTCTTGAACAAATGCTTGGCAAAGAAACACGAACGGAGATGGACAGCTGACATGTTATTGAATCATCCGTTTATTGTCAAGAATCTGGCAGCACTGCCTGCGGATTTTAATGATCGAGTGCTTTCTCAGACTAATCCCTTTGGGAATGGTATCTGGGCTTCTACAAACCATCTATTTACCGCTCCGCCGAAGCTTCAAATTCCATATCCTCATCAACTACGTGCACCCCTCAAGATTAATCAGAATGTTCGTGTTCAATAGCTATTACCTCACCACTATATCTGCCGTGCCAGAAAGTTTAAAATGCAATATGAAGTTCATTTTTTTGACTGAGAACTTGGAAGCAATCAGAGAAAATTTAGTTTAGGAATTTGTCATATTTTGAGTTTTCTAGGTTATTTCTAGTTTGTCGAGACAATGAGTCTGTTTTTCCTTTTTCGTGATATGTAAATTTTGTGGATTCATGTATAAGTAAACTTACAATTCCATCGTATTGTTCTCGTCAATTTAGATCCAATTCAAAGATTCATTATCTCTATCTTGGGCTAACTTTGCATCTTTTATTTTCTTTCTTATGTAAATTCCAGCGGAGTATTGGTTTGTGGATTTCACCTAAGTTTTTTCGTATTCCAAAGTCGGGTTAAGGGTTTTTCAATTGAGTATTGTTCCAGAAATATGCTTAAATTGAGATAACTTTCAATTTATTCTCAGGGATTGAATTATAATGTAATGACTTTGGTAGTTTTACTCATATATGCATGGCATCTTAAATTGTGCTGTGTCCTATTATTGTGTTTATTATCATTTTTGGTGTTCGAGATACGCGGATCATGCAAGAGTAAAATTCGTTCTTTTACATTTGACAAAGTTAATGTTAATAAACCAGTTGTTGATAAGTTGTGTAGGGTATTGCAGCCTGATTTCGACGGCTATTTATTTTATGTTCGTTGTGTATATCATATTATTAATTTAATTCTGCAAGATGGTTTGAAACATATTAAAAACGAAATTCAAAGAATTAAGGATGCACTAATATATATCACGATTTCACCCAGTATAAAACAAGCATTCAAAAAATTTTGTGCTGAATTTGAAATGACAGTTATGAAAATATTTGTTAGTGATGTAGGATATAGATGGAATTCGACTTACTTAAAATTGAAATCATGCGAATGATATGATTATTTAATAATTGAATTTTATAATAATGGGAGTATTAGAAACGATGATGACACTATTTTGAATGAATCTGATTGGATGTTAGCTTTTAAAATTAAAAAAAAAAAATTGATTAGTTTTTATTATTCTACAAATATATTACCTAGTGTTTATTATACTACTAGTTGTATGGTACTTAAACGTTTTTATATCATTGCAAGGACTTTTGATAAATACAAAAATGAGTGAAATTATATTTTTTATGGAATTAAAGTTTAGAAAATAATAATAAGATTTTTATATCATTGCAAGGACTTTTGATAAATACAAAAATGAGTGAAATTATATTTTATTTGGAATTAAAGTTTAGAAAATAATGATAAGACTTGCTTAAGTTATTTCCGTAGGCATGTATTATGGACCCTGATACAATTTATCAGGTACTAAATATGTAATTGATCAAATTCTTAAAAACTTTAACACACCTATCCTCATAGAAACTAGAACAAACTTTATGCGAAATGTATGAATTATATGCACAACGAATGAGTGCAAATATTATTCAGGCACCCTTTGCACCTATTCCTCCTGCTAATTTTGAAGAAAACAAAGTTGAAATACAAGGTTTATTTGAAGGCATTTACACATAGATATGATGCGGTATGTTCTTTTTGTATATCTACCGCATATAATCAAGCATCAAAAGCAAGTCCAAATTCATTGCCTGTTGAATTTATTTATTATTTTAATCATCATAGCCATATTAATACATCAATTAGGAAATGTTCAAAAAAAGTAATAAATTTTCACGAAAGTACGAATGAAAATGGTTTAGTAGTATTTGCGATTGCAAAAGACCTACTAACACCTCTGGTTACTACTGTAACTTTGGAGTCTACTTTTAATGCAGGTAAAAGAATTCCATCCGAGGTCAAGAGCTGACTGAAAAAAGACGTTTTGGAAACATTAATGTGCTTGACGAATTGACAAGACACTTATGTTCGACTACAAAATAAGTATGTCAAATTGCGTGTTGTCAAGTAAATGATATTTAATTCAATCATATTTTTAAAATTTGTCATTTCATAATTTTAATTTTTGTTTTTTGAAAAAATTGTATATGTTATAAGTTGTTCGTATACAATTTTTTAACTTTGCTTACTCAAAATTTAAATAGCCGGTAAAAAAAAAAAAAGGAAATTCGGTGAACTCGTGCACCAAGCTCAACTCAGTCCATGAGCTCGAGCTTGGCCCTCGAGTAACAATGCTTGGCTCGTTCTACACGTGCTCGTGGGCAATAGGGCCGTGCTGAGCCATGGCCGTCCCTAATTTCTTTTATGTGATTTACTTTCTCTAATATCTTTTCTTGCTTCTCCAGGACTTAATGCTGGGCTTCCTTCATTAGAGCAGGCTAGCCGAATCAAGATTAATTGCTCTCTCCGTAGCAGTCGACATATTACAATCCATTATGATTTGTCTCAACCCCTACCATCTCGATAGACTATTAATCTAAGTAATCTTTTGCATGAGTTGAGATTTACAATCAAATTTATTGTCTACCCAATTAATTATTGATACATCATTTTGTAAGAGAGAGAGAAAGAGCATTCAACAGTGTTATTACACAGTTGTTCCAAGTGTGAAATTAAAATTGATGTCATATTAATTTAAAATGATCGATGTGTTAATAATTAATTGAGTGCACAACAAATTGGACAACAGATTTCAACTTCTTTTGCGTATTAATAATCTTCATACCCAAATCATGTAAAATGTACGAAAGGCAAATGCTCGATTTATAGTGATCAATCTAGTAGGCATACTACTCCCCTCCGACTTTCAAAAACAATAGTATCAACAACAATTCGCCATTGATCCCTAGTCAGAAAGAGAGAACTAACATAAAACTGCAGCAACATGTTCGATTCTTGATAAGAAGAGAAACTGATTCTTAATATTTTACACAGAAAGAAGACAACTAAACTCTAAAAGATTCCCAAGCCATCCTCAACTATAACTTTCGCAAAATACAAGCCACCGCAATATTAGTTCGTTCCTCATTTAAATTTATTCTATATGATGGGCAATTTGTAACTCCATTTTCATGAGAGGAAGAAACGGATCTGATGTATAGCATGAATGAAAACATGGAGCTCAATCCTTATCCTCTTTTTTCTTTTCCAGAACCTCGTCATGCCTTAATGCGGACCAAAAAGGAACCTGTCGTTGACATGCCATCAAGAAACAATTAGGAACATTACATAGAATTTATGTTAATTTGCACGAGCTCGCACATGTATAATCAGCCAAACGGAAATAAATTTACTCAATGGATATCTATCACACTTGTAAGAGTTTATTAATGTTAATTTACTCAAGTAACAGACAAATTTTCTTAGAAGGTGTCAGGTTTAAAGCAATTCCATCCATCAAGTTTGAATGATTCCTAACAAGTCTACATTTAACACGGTTTTAAGAGTTGTGACACAGAAGTTATATGACTTGAAAAATGTGAAATTTACATCTGAGAACACAAGCTAGATGTTTAGAGTAGGTTAAGAACGCCCAAGTCTAAGGAAGAACTGATATTTGAAATAAAAAGCAGATACCCGTAATCATTCACAACAAAATTTAAATAAATATATTTGTCTCAGACTTAAGGTTTTACTTTTACACGTGGTGGTTGTTCACATGGTATCAGACCCACGAGAGTTTTTTATTCCCCTGTATCACCCTATTTCTTCCTGGGGATTAGAACATTTATTTGTTCACTACTAGGAATGTCGAAAGCAATTTCTGTGAGGCTTAGAACTGAGAGTCTTCAAATAATGTAGATGTTATTTCAAGTGGCAGCTGATCAACCAAAAATATTCTAGCTCTTCAATGACTCGCGAATTTCCTCTTTTACGGATGAAAAATTGAAAAACTATATCAGTTTACCAATCAAATTCAATTGTCTGCAAATATCTCTTTCCTTTCAAACTTAGCCCAAGCAGGCAACATTTTAAATGCTCTTTATGCCATTCTTAAAAATCTCTAATTGACTTTGGGAACACTATCATACGATTGGTTTGTCCAATTTGTTCCCACTTAGACTCCATGCTCAAGTCATCAAAAACTTGAGATTGTCAATGGCTCTTTGACTAGAGTTGCTGGGAAGGGCACAATCATTCGTCAAAAAATCTTAATTCTCACATTCATTTACATGTGCTAATTTGTTTTGTTTCTCATTTCTGTTATAGAACTTTCAAAACATTCAAAGACATTACTACATATTTTCCATCTTAATGTTTTGTTTTTCCCTTTGGCCGTATCCGCTCAAGGCAAGCCAAAGATCCCTTGGTAATCATTGCCCGTGTTCGGACCGGACTGTCCTACTGCTGTGAATCTATCTAGCAGCACGTTGCTAGAAAAAGGTTTCTTCAAATTCACAGATCTACACACTCCCAACCATTCAATCAGCTATGGGGGTTTTAAGCAAGTGGGTAACCCGATGATGACTAGTACAAACTTAGGTAGGTCGATCGTCACTCCCTCTACCATCTATCCCATTGCATTCCATTGTCTCGTATTGTACTGTACCGTATCAGACTAGATAGATCTATTGCAATGGCCCACCCTTTCTTTGAACCTTGTCAATGATCGAACTTAAAGATATGAACTGATTGCCATTTGATGAGTAACTAAGAACCCATTCAGGAACCAAGCAATGCCTGCTCCACTAGCTGCCGCGATGAAGTGGGAACCCATTTGTAGGGGACCCTCTCTTTTGGAATTTCATCCACAAAACCAATAGAATTGTTGATGCCAAGGCACCGAGAAAGAAGATTGTAATTGGATAAGTTATTAGGAATATGACAGAGCGAAAGACCAAGGAAAGAAAGAAGAATACACGAAGGATCAGAGAGAAAAAGAATCCTAAAAGCTAAAAGCCTAGAAGACTAGACTATCAAACTCGGAGGTTGCAACCAAGCATGTTGGTCAGGCGGAATCAATCTAAAGCATATTTGGTTTGTGACAAAAGAAGGCCAGAGGGATGCTTTAAAAGGAGGATGGCAATTAATTGGCTTCAAAGTCAACAGGTATAAGCTTTAAGTTTCAAGAATTATGTTAAGCAAAGAAGATCGGTAGTGGAAAAGAAGTAGAAGGCCCCTCTATCTTAAGAGCAAGATTGTTCAGGAATACATTTTAATTGTTCAGGAATACATTTTATTATGGTTTCTTTAAGATGGTCTATCATGCATAATTTTTTAGTATTATGTTCTTTGGATTATTGGATTGGTTTTTCTCAAAGAAACACCTCATATCACAAATGTAAAATTGCCTCGGTACCCCATAAAACCTTTTTAAACAACTAACCTCGTGTAAGCAAAGCTCAACAAAATAGGGTTATTGAGAGAAAAATAGATTTCTTCAAGAAGTTAATTCGGGGCCTTAATGTTTACATTGGGTGCAACCAAACAGGATTTTTTTTTCTTTTTTTTTTTTTTTTTGCGTGGGTT